TAAGAAACATATTATCAATCAATCAATCAAACAAAACAATTTTTATTAGTTCTGATTATTTTACTAATAAATACCTAGTAACATGTGAGTTTACTTTGAAAGTAGTTTATAAACTATATAATAAATGTTAGAGAAATAAAAAGATAGATGTTTATTCTGAAAAAAAAAAAAATATCATTATGAATTTTAAGACTAGCTGTTTAGAATGTATACGATTAACAAATATGTAATTTATTTAATATACGTGTAATAAAACAATGAACCACAATACTTTACGATTATTCCCATTTATACACAAACTAAATGGTAATGTAAACAAAACGTTTATGAAAAACATAACTCATAAATCTAATTTGTAAAATAATAGGAACTTAATGTTATTGTTCATGAATGGGTTTTATCTTTATATCGACGCCAGACGATCCTGCAGCCGACTAGAAGGTAAGTAACTACCGTCAATTTTCTACTGAGGAATAGTTCAATAATTTTTTTTAAAGACAATATGGCGTGGTGGTACACATTAAAAATGTATCAATGCAGTGAGTTTCAGTTTAAACCGAAGTGGTTATAAAAAAAAGAGTTCATAGAGTCATCTAAAATAATGCTTCAGAGGCTTCAGAGCACTCCTCATGCCACATACGGTACAAAGAACAAAGATGTTCGACATTGAAAAATAAAAAAGATCACTGAGATTTTAATTTATCGACGATGCGACTTTATGGCCGTTCGTTTTTTTTTTATGTTGTCAAATAAAAGACGCTGGGATGTATAAATTATGACCCAACTATAGGACTAGAACGTACGCAGACGTGTTCTTGCTAGATATTTTATATCAATCAAGCAGTAGGTAGCTATCGTTACTTTGTACTATGGACTCCCGAGATATTTCGAGATAAGTCGTCGTGACCTAAAGAATGAGACGTCCAGTGCATTCGTATATAGCGATGCATCGGTGTTGGTATCCCGCTAGCTGGTACCAATTATTCCAATAAAATACGTACTTAATACATATGTTCACGATTGACTCTCACGATGAAGGAACAACATCGTGTAATAAAAATCAAATCCGCAAAATTATAATTTGCGTTATTATTGGTAGAAGGACGTCTTCTGAGTTATTTTTTATGATTGAAAGATTACTAGTGGCCCGAAGGCCTTTCCAGTTTCACCAGGACATGTGACCGTCTTGTGCGTCCGCACGGGTGGGTACCACTACCCTATTTCTGCCGTGAAGCCGTTGTACTGTTAAAAGTGAGACTTTAGAAGTCATGTTTCAAAGTAGGTGGCAGCATTTATGTTGTAGATGTCTCTGGGCTCCGGTAACCACTTAACACCAGGTGGGCCGTGGGCTCGTCCAGCAATATAAGAAAAAGTACACTCTGAATCATCCGCTCCAAGTAGATCAAGTCTAAAAGTTAGTAGGGCAACCAAGGCAGCTTCGTGCTGTATTAACTATAAAACAAGTGCTAAAATACAGATATAAAAACTCCCAGAGCCAGATTGGTTAGTGAAGTAGGTGTATGGTTGCCAGCTGAACAATCTTGATGGAAACTATTCTGACACTGACAAGTGAGTAGGCAGGTATTTTAGAATATCTCCATTAATAACCCGCTGCATCTTTTAGGAATGCACGCATGTAATTGTGCTAGGTCCTTGAGTTATGACTCATCAATATGGTGGATAGGGATGGTCTTCCATGGCGATAGTCCTATTAATTGTTGATTTGAATTGCAATTTAAACATATTAAAGAGGAGGTTCGTTCATTAAGAGGATTATATAATCATTGTAATGGTTGATCCACCCATTCTACCTATTAAGTAACCTACAGTTCCCAATGCCTATGAGTTACTTTCGTGAAGACTTCAGACGAATTATAAAACATTGCTCAGTGTTATGGCTGTTCTACTGTTCATTATTCATTAAATGCCTTCACGCTATGACCAATGCTATCATCAGATTAAGATGTTAGATGACTGGAATGGCAAATATTAAGATTCTGACACCCACACGCTCTTCAAGCTTGCTATAAGTTTTCAAATGTTGTGGTGAGTACTTAAAAAAGGTTTCAGATATCTATTTCCACTTTTTTTATGTACTTGTTAAGGGACATGACACTACCACTACAAGCAAACATCCTATTTTATGTAGAACAAAGATCACTATACTGATTGAATAAAAAAGTGATGATTATAACATTGATTACTTTATTTAATTATTTATAGATATGTAGATCATAATGTTTTAGAAACTAATACAAACGAGTATTACATCTCTCATAATAAGTTACACACAAGTTCGTGCCTTAGTACAGTAAGAGTTTACAGTGCTATATGAACTAATAATTTGGCATCATTTTATTTGGCATTAGTATAATTAATGATTAATATTAAGAAAGTTGTTCCCTACATTACACCAACACAAAGAGTAAAGTGAATAGTCAGAAAATAAATTTGACATGTAAACATCATTTTGAGATCAATTGTTTGTTGGACTTTCAATTTACTACTTTGTTTTCATTTATTTATATAGTCTCATTCTAACTTGTCATATGAATACACACACATATACAAAATAAACAGATTGTAAATTCTGTACTAACAATAAAAGTTGTGACAACAATTATTTTAAATACTTGATAAGACATGCTACATGAAGTTATTATTATGTATAGACAAATAAGTAATTATGGAATGCATCATATTTGTAGTTACATTTCATTCAAGGATAATCAATTAAAAGACAGCTAGTTAAATAGTTATAATTTTTTTTCCGATCCTTTTGGATGAGGAAGTCAATAAACCACAGAACATATGACTCACACTCAACAGCTTCAATGATCTTAATGCAAAGTATATCAGCCTCTGTCAAGTAACCTTGTATTGCAATCACTTCAGATTGATTCCCAATCGGATTGTTTATATTTACTTCATCAATAGATCCTTTAATGTCAATTTGGCCTGCAGCATTGTCAGGAATGTAATTTACTGAAAGATTTATTTGTAATATATTAGTATTAATTAGCAAGGATTCTAATGACCTAACAATATAAACTATCAACATTTAATCTAAGTATGTACTAGATGCATAAAGTTTAATATGCTAATATCACTTGTATGCAGTTTTACACTGAACCATAGTGATCTAATTATTATTTATTATTATTATTAAAGCAATAAACGTAATTGTGATTTTATTATATTGTGATATTAATTTTTATGTTTTCGATTTTTTTTTATTATTGGCTGTATCCAGCTGCAGCCGTCTTTCAACCGATGATGATTAGCTACATGAAATGGATTGTATGAATTAGTTGTCGATATTCCCTAATTTTTTTTTAAATTTAATAACAAAATTATAGTCTACCTGGTAGTTCATCTTGCTTCTCTAATATGGCCATAATTATTTGATTTTAATATGTGCGCTTTTAATATATTCTCCTTTTGTTCCTAACAAGGTTTATCAATTCACTGCAAATAATCAATACCAATAACTCCGTGTGTTGAGCGGCGTTTTTTTGTTCTTAGAACCACAATGGGGCTCCGGCCTCTACTCTCACACCTATGGAAATTCTAATATTAATAATATTTTGTTTGTGACCGTAGCTTTCTCCGTACTTCTGCCGACAATTTCTTAAAAATTACTCGCTTTATTCTAGTCTTGATAGCCAGTATGTAGGTAGTCAAGTTAGCAACTTTTTCTTATATTGATTTTGAAATTTTGAGAAATTTGACAGTTGACACAGGTGTCAAACTTTAATCGTTTAAATTTCTGTACGACCATTATCTACTCGACTTTTTGGCCATTGTAATAATTTTCAGAGCGGTCGTGGTCGTCATTCAGTATCATTATATTATTATATTATCATTATCCGCTCGGAAAAGCGTGATACGATAGAGGAAGAAAGTAGTTTTCAATAATATTCTCAGTAAAATGCTAGGCATTGTCCGAGGAGTGTCTTATTTGAAGAGGTCGTTGTGTTAAAAGATAAGTAAGTCGCGTGGTATACGTTTATGAAGCAATGCGAAGTGCCGGTTTTAAAATCTCGCAGACAGAGTCTAGTTTTTTTGACTGATTTCTGAATGGCTTAGATTTACATTCAATTATAATACTTGCAGCTGGAATCAAGTTCTCTGTTTTTTTTCCTAGGCACGAGAAGGTCTGTCGGACCCACCATTGTGTACTAAAAAATCGTTATGAGACTTTTAGAGTTGAACATTTTAAATTGTAATTGGTTTTTTTATAAAATACAACAAACTGTTTCAGGAAAACTAAATTTAATCTCTAGGGTAGTAGAAATGTTATGTAGCATGGCACGAACGAAATCGAGCGGCTGTTATTTATGTGATCCTGGTACTCACACACAGCGAATACGTTATGTATTCCATAAATTAAGGTCAGGGTTGAGGAGCAAGCAACGGTTCGCTTTAGCTCGTACATTCGTTCCTTCGAGCGTCACTCAAGGACTATTGGATTGATTTCAGTAATTTTTAAGGCCTGCTAACTCAATGATTGCTTTTTAAATTTATTGTTTCTTTTAACGGCAGGCGCACAACAGCTACAAAATAATAATAATACCACCACTTTTTTCTTCTTTTTTTGCTTGTCGCGAAATCTACTTTTACGATCTTTTTTGTTGTCATTATACTACTTCCGGCGTTCCGAATAATATTTGAAGTTCCGGGTCACAGACGCCGGAAAATATTTTTTTCATCTTAACTCGCTATTTTATTCTAATGACACTTTAGCAATGAGGGCCAATTAAAATAACACGGGATTTTTTTTCTTTGGAATTTTATTGTATCTGTACGAATTATCGTGTAGTAATAAAAATACATTATAGTGAGGGGTAGATCTCAGGGGTATTTAAAACTATGGGTTAGTCACCAATATCGAATTTCGAATTTTAATCTTCCTTTAACACAAATAATTTTCAATTTTAAACAATAATTACATTTAGACGCGGGCGCACGCTATTCACCCTCAAAACGGAAGCGCCCGGAACATAGATTATACACTGTTACAAGATTGACATAGATACTAACTATGTATAGCGAGCGGGCATACGGCCGCGAGAGTGACGTACCGGTCGGTTTGCTACATACTCCCCCTCTAGTCCTGGAGGACGCCCTCGCTCCTGGACTAGCATCTCATTACTACTGGGCTGAGGGACAGGCGCAAGACCAACCATACCACCAGCTGCGGGAGAAAGACGTGGAGCTTCAGCACATGGTTCAGCATGCCGTGTCGTCATATGCCCTGGAACTCGAGAATCTGTTTTAACATTATTTGGGGGACGACCACGTTTCTTTTTAGGCATCACCGGCCGCGGAAGAGCATCACTCTGATTCTCACGGTATAGAGTGAGATCGTTCACATGATATTTCCCTAAAACTTCATCAGGTTTGTCAACATGCGCGACGTGGTAAGTAGTAGGGCTGACCTTTTTAACGATGCGATACGGACCATCGCGTTTTGGAACAAACTTAGAAGTAAGGCCTTTAGCGCTCTTACTGAGGACGTGTGATTTGATGAGAACCATGTCACCTTCGTTGAATGTTTCAATGGGCCGTCTCGAACGATCAGCATACCCTTTAGCTTTATCTTGAAGCGTCTCTACACGTTCGCGCACCGCTGAAAAGGAGTTAACAAATTTCCTGAGATAGGGAGTTATTTGGGGAACAAAGTTATCTTTGTCTAGAACAGCACGAAGGTCATGGGTGACTTCTGTGGGGGACCTCATCTCTCTGCCAAATGACAAGTAAGCAGGTGACATACCTGTGGTGCGACATTTAGCGTTATTAAGAGCGAATCGAATCACTGGTAACATGTTTGGCCAGGAAGTGTGGTCACATTCCACGAGTTGTGCTAATAAAGTCTTAAGATCTCTGTTTTTACGTTCGGCGGGGTTTGCTTCTGGGTGATAGAGAGGGATAAGGTTTTGCTTTATCCCCAGGATGGACATGCATTGACGCATGACTGCCGAAATAAATTGTACGCCATTATCAGAAACTAGTCGGCGTGGAAGACCAAACCTCATAAAATACTCCTCTATGAGGACATGTGCACACGCCTCAGCAGTAGCTTCCTTCAATGGGAAAAGTTCTGTCCACCTCGTAGCAGTATCTTCTATTAGCAAGATCCAACGCTCCCCCTGTTTTCCAGGTGGTAACGGGCCGAAAAGATCAACTGCCAAGACCTCGTTGCGCTGGTTCATCACCGGCGTCTGCAATAGACCTGGAGGCTTGGTATTAGCAGCCTTATAGCGTTGACAATGGATACATGCCTTTACATAGTCGGTTATGATTCTTCTCATTCCTGTGAAGTAGAACAGACGTGAGACTTGTTGGTAAGTCCGGTCAATTCCTGCATGTCCAGCGGTAGGGGCATCGTGAAGCTCTTTGAGAATGTCGGTCACTTGATGGGCAGGAATGACTAATTGTGGGGCCTCGGCATCAGAATCCGGATTAAGTCGATATAAAACACCTTGTTCCATTAGAAATCCTCTTTCTGACCATCTTTTAGCAGCAAGTTCATCCACTCCTTCCAGTTCTGTGACGATCTTCTGTATTTCCGGATCAGTCAACTGGTCTTGACGTAACTGGGTAGGTGACTTGGTGGGCAGGTCGCAAATGACAGAACAGATGCCGCAGTTATTTTGTGTTTCGTTGGAACAGATCGGTCTACTTAACGTGTCAGCGACAACGTTAGCTTTTCCTGGGGTGTACTCGAATCTGATGTCAAATTCTTGGAGTTTAAGCGCCCAACGGACCAACCTACCAGCAGGAGACTTTAAAGAAAGCAACCAACGCAAGGGTTGGTGGTCACTGCCTATAATAATTGGTTGGCCGTCGAGGTATGGCCTGAAACGCTCCACGGCCCAGACTACAGCAAGCGCTTCCCGTTCTGTAGTAGAGTAGTTGCGCTCCGCTGCGGTGAGTAGGCGGCTAGCATACTCGATAGGCCTTTCGTCCTTGCCTTCCCCTTGAGCTAAAACTGCGCCAAGTGCATAGTTGCTCGCGTCGGTACGCAGTACTAAGGGTTGTTTAAAATTCGCTTGAACAAGTACGGGCGCCGTGGTCAGCAGACGCTTCAATTCTTTGAATGCCTGTGTTTGTTCAGGTCCCCAGCTCCATGTGTAATTCTTCTTGGTCAGTCGAGTAAGCGGTTCTGCTATCTTTGAAAAGTTTGGAATAAACTTCCTGAACCAAGAGCATGTTTGGAGAAAAGTTCTTAAATGTTTTAGGTTAGATGGTTCCAGCATATTAAGGACAGCACTGACCTTCTCAGGGTCAGGAGACACACCGTCTGGAGTGATGACGTGGCCCAGATAACGGACCCTTTCTTTGGCAAAAGTGCACTTCTCTCTGTTTACGTGAAGTTTAAATTCAGACAAACGTCTAAAAACAGCTTCCAGATCTTGTAGGTGTTGCTGGAATCCTTCTGAAATAATTAACAAATCGTCTAGATAAGCAAGTACTGTAACATCCTTCAAAGCAGCACAGGAGCGTAGACGATCAATAAGCCTTTGGAAAGTCGCCGGCGCATTCTTCAAGCCGAACGGCATTCTTTTAAAACGGTAAGTGCCTAGGGGGCAGACAAAAGCTGTTTTGTCTCTGTCTGCTTCTCGGACCATAACTTGCCAATATGAAGAACGAAGGTCTATTGTGGTCATGTAACAATTCTTCTTCGTACTCTGGAGAAGATCATCAATGCGTGGGAGTGGGTAAGTATCCGATTTGGTTACTTCATTTAAGCGCCTGTAATCCACGCAGAATCTTACATTACCATTGGACTTCGGTATCATCAATGCAGGAGAGCACCAGGCGGATTCGCACTCTTCAATGATGTCATCTGCCAGCATCTTCTCTATTTCATTCTTCATCGTCTCCTTCTTGGAAGGGTTAAGGCGATAGGGCGGCACAGCTATCGGGGGGTGATCTCCGGTGTCTATGCAATGTTCTATGAATGGTGTCGGACCTCCCCCTGCTGTAAAAATACTTTCATGCCGAATAAGGAACTCAGATAATGCTTGGCGCTCAGCTGATTGCAAGTGCATGCCTTCATCATCCCGAAGCATGTTAGTAGAAGCTATGCACACACCACGAGACATAGGTTCAAAAAGTAATTTATAATGCACCTTAGCATCAGTACTAAAATACCATTCATGACGATGAAAATCAATAATAACTTTGGCAGCATTAATAAAATCAATACCCAGTAAAGTTTCATTATCATTAGAATCAGGGAAGATTATAAATGGAATATTAATCACTATGTGTTCTAACCTCACTGGTAATATGGTTGTCAATACATCCATATTCCGAACATGCCCATCAGCAAGTTTGACTCGCCTAGTGGAGGGAGTAAGAGGGTGACCCTTATGCAGAAGGAGAGCATACAGCGTGTGACCAGCAATACAATGCTTAGCTGCTGTATCTATAAGTGCAGTACCCTGTTTACCGAGAACTTGAATTTTGAAAATAGGCCGTAAATGCAAATACCTATCATCACTCTCACGGTCGTACACGGACGCTACAACACTTCCCTCACATGTACAATAATTAAAATTCAAACAATTATCAATTTCCACACATTCGTTAATTTTTCCAAAATTACACTTACTGCCTTTTGTGTCACAGTCATGGTTAGTTGAAAATTTTAAATTATTACAATTTGGTTCAATTATTTGATTATAAGGTAAAATTGAGTTCTTACATTTAGGTCTAGTTCCCTGGTTATAACAAATATTTAAATTTTTACACTTTGTCCGAACATCCTGATTATATAAAACATGAGAATCACAAAAGGTTGGCATCTCATTATTACTAGTGCAATTACAGTTAATATTCTTTGACACAGAATCATTACAGGCATGAAAATAAGATTTTCTGGAAGTAGGGCCTCTGTTAATGGTAGCATAATTAATATTTGCATCCCGGTTACAAAAATTTTGACATTCAAAATTACTCAGAAAATTATTTTTGTCATGCTGCTTAACATCATACATTGCATTCTGAACAGGTAAATTAGAACTAATTGTGTTAGTATTATTAACATTACACTGAACACTATAAAACGCATTATTGTCATTTTGCACACCCTCGGAAAAGTTAGATTGACTTTGCTCACCTCGGTTGTTTAACTTACGGCACTGTTCCCGTGCATGTCCAAACCGTTTGCAGTAGGAGCACACTGGACGCTGTTTCTTCGTGGTCACGAATTGCTCTGCAGAACCTGGCACAGCAGCGGCAGGCGTGGCAACGGTAGGCTGGGCGACAGCGACAGGCACAGCGGTGGCGGGCACGACGGCCGCGGCGGAGTTTGGAAAGCGCGCGCGCGGCGCCGGGGCACTCGCACGAGCGGCGCACGGTTCAGGCCGACTCGCAGCCTGGGCCGGCTGGGCACGGATCGAACGCACACCACTAGTGGACGACACTGGTCTCGATTGAGTCTCCTCTATCGAATCTTCTATATTCCGAGCATGGTTTAATAATGAATTGAAAGATGTGATTTCTTCACGGCGCAATCTTGTGCGTATTCTATTATGAAGCAACCCGTATATCATATCAAGTTGTACTTTTTCAGTAATATCATCCCGCGGTAGCTTTGCCATAAGCGCACGAATACGAGCAACAAACTTGTCTGTGTTTTCGTTATCCTGCGGGGAAGCAAATATTTCCAAATATATTCTATGTGGTGGAAGGCGGGTGCCATATGCATATATTAAATTTTCTTTGGCTTCGTTCCAAGTGGAGATGTGATGCTTTAATCCTAGCCACCACGTAGCTGCGTCAGCAGACAAAAGCATGGCTAGGCCTCGTATGATGTTAGCGTCAGATACTTGAACGCATTCTGTATAGCTTTCAATTGCATCTATAAAGGCCTCAACAGATTCACCAGGTGCACCGCTGAAAGAAGCTCTGCAACGCGCCAAGGTACCATCTACGTTCACTGGGGGCATCGGCGGAGGTGCCGGAGTCGACGATCTTTGTTCCATCACGTACGACATAATGTTCTTAAATGTTTCGGCCTGCGAACGTTGCAGCGAGGCCATCAACGCTGAAACATCATCCAAGTTGAACGTAGAATTGTTGCTACGTGATTCGGCGTGGGGGCGATCATGGGGGCTATCATGCTCCTCGTGATTTTCGTTGGCATTTGCATCTGCAGCAGGAATAACGTCGTCTTCGCGACGTTGCTGGCGATCTTGATTTCTAGTTAAAGGCATTCTTTACAATTAAGCACCAACAGCATACAATAGTTAGCAAAATTTTCACAAAAGCGTGCGCGCCATTTTGTTAGTCCAAGCAAGAAAAAAATTAGGAAACGTTGGGCAGCCAGATATAGTGAGGGGTAGATCTCAGGGGTATTTAAAACTATGGGTTAGTCACCAATATCGAATTTCGAATTTTAATCTTCCTTTAACACAAATAATTTTCAATTTTAAACAATAATTACATTTAGACGCGGGCGCACGCTATTCACCCTCAAAACGGAAGCGCCCGGAACATAGATTATACACTGTTACAAGATTGACATAGATACTAACTATGTATAGCGAGCGGGCATACGGCCGCGAGAGTGACGTACCGGTCGGTTTGCTACAACATATTTTTGTAGGGAATTAAATGGCCTACAAAAAAGGTTTGAAATAATTTTTTGCTAAGTCAACTCGGTTAAAAGTTATTCGCAGTTAAAGTTTAACTTAAAATAATACGAGTATATGATGACTTTCACAATTTTGTATACTTTTTACAAAAAAATTGCTTAAAAACGTACAACAAATTTTTTTTTTCGTTTTTACTTTCCATATTTATTGACGATGCGGGCTTTGAAAATTGAACAAATTATAAAAATAATGTTTATTATTTTTATTTAATAATTATTAGAACACAACTTTTATTATTTTACATGACCTAATAATCAACTTTAAATAAGACATTATTGATTTTCGAAAATGATTCATTTTCTTAAGCCATTATTCAGGTGAAGAGAGAGACCTTTTACCTATTACTTTTATTATTTAATTCTCTTGAGGCGGGACGGGTTTTCATGCCTGTGTACTAGGAGAACAAGATTATAAAGAAGTTTAGTCCAGTCGTAGAGCATAGTTTAAGAGTGCACAGGCGCAGTACTCAGTTTCCTAGCCGGTAACCGTACTCGTCGAACTCGACAAAGAGTTCGCCGTGCAACCTAACCCATGAATCAGCTCGCTGAGTTTCTCGCCGGATCTTCTCAGCGGGTCGCGATTCCGATCCGGTCGTAGATTCATTCGCGAAGCAGCTACTCTTGAGCTGTTAGGTCTCCTTCGAAGGCGCTCGGGTAGCTGTTAGCAAATCCCACCCCTCGTGGCTGAGCCTTTGCTCGCCCACCTGTCCTGGTGAAACTGGAAAGGCCTCCGGGCCACCAGTAATCCTTCAATCATAAAAAAAAAAAAAAAAAAAAAAAGTTTCCTAGAGAAAGGAAAGTTGCCACATTTTGAATCGCGGCCAGGGCGTAGCGAGTAAAATTTTTTACTCAAAGAAAAAAACTATTATAATTACCTACTCTAAAGTCACGAATATGAAAAGAAAAATAATGATAAGAAACTTTATTTTAAATTTAAATAGGCCCTTACCTAATTTCGAGTAGTTATGACTATACCTGGTATGCATGAGTTGACCGCAAACTCTTAATGTTGAAATCGTATTGCAATATTATCTTACTTTTCTAAATTAATTTACTCTTGTAAGAGATTTTCCACCGGAAAACCACAAGGAGATAATCGATTTTGATAGTCGATTTTAATTTAGGTCACTATGTAATAATTCGGATGATTACAGCTCACGGCTGAATTTTGCAGCGTGTATTGTTATGTAATCGTCTAAACTAAAATTGGCTGGTGATTTAAACAAGTTTGAGAACTCTATTGGATATTGATGCCCTGGGAGTGATGGAAAACTGGTGGTTTTACTTGTGGTAGGACCTCTTGTGAGTCCGCACGCGTAGGCACCACCACCCCGCCTATTTCTGCCGTGAAGCAGTAATGCGTTTCGGTTCAAAGGATGGGATAGACGTTGTGCTTTAAAAACTAAGACATTAGAATCTCATATCTCAAGGTGGGTGGTAGATGTCTATGGGTTCCGGTAATCACTCAACACCAGGTAGGCTTTGAGCTCGCCCACCCATCTATGATATAAAAAAAATAAAAAAAAATGTAGAAAAATCAATGACCTTCTATTAATATATTATGTACTTTTTAGTATTTTTGACTTTAGATAATTGCTTTATTTACCACAAGTTGAATTTCGAACATGAACCTCACATTATTAGGTACGTGCAAAAGTATTCTTCTATGTTTTATGATTTCCTGGTACCTGCAGATGTAAAATACTCTATAGGCAATTATTTTATTTTCGCTTTCATAGTTTAGTAACTCAAAACATCAGCGTTTACTATAAAGGTTTGCTCAAAATAATCTCTACTTTAAAAAATACAGTAAAGTTTTGTGTTTGATAATAATCTATATCTATACTAATATTATAAAGAGGAAAGATTTGTTTGTTTGTTTGTTTTGAATAGGCTTCCAAACTACTGAACCGATTCGAAAAATTCTTTCACTGTTTAAGAGCTACATTATTACCGAGTGACATGGTTATATTCTTTTTTTTAAATTAGAGATCCTTACTAAAGCTCCAATAATGTAACCCAAGGTGTAAAAAATCACCTAAAATATTCTTTACATCGCGTGCCCTGCGAAAACTATTGATGATAGAATAAAGTAATCTATACTAATATTATAAAGAGGAAAGATTTGTTTATTTGTTTGTTTTTTTATAAAAGTAATGTTCGATGGAATGGTTTATAGATCATAATGGCTAAGACGCCGACATTATATTTACACGTTTTGTTTTTTTATTGAAATTATGATAATTAAATTAATTTAAAATGGAAAAAAAAAACTGTTGAAAATTGAAGAAAAAACAAATAAATGTTTTGTTCGTATAAAAAAAAACGAATATGTCCCTTTGTTTATTTCTAAAGCTCATCAATAGCAATTAAGCAGAATAACGGTATTAAAAATATAAAATAGTACATTCTTTAGACCCTTTTTATTGAGAAAAATAGAGTATATCAACAATGTATATTGACAACTGGCAAATGGACTGGCAAATTGTATAAAGAAATAAAAAATAACGTGCAACTTAACCCACAGAACCCACTAATTTTCTTGCCGAATCATTTCGATGGGTCGTGATTCTGATCTGGTGGTAGATTCAGTGAAGCACTGTTCCTAAGGCAGATGCTAGCAAAGTTTTTCAGGCTGAGTCCCGTGAGCTCGCCTACACACCTGGTGAAGCCAGGATAGCCCCTCGAGGCTACAGGCTAGGTAGGTAAAAAAAGTAACCAAACTAAACAACAAAAAGCTTGTTAATGAATAGAGATGAAAATTGTACTAAACTGGTTTTGTAGAGACTTTTTGACAAAGATACAATCAAAATTAAGTTCATTAAATTAATGTACTATGTAATCATCACGTCAGATCATATTGAGGTGTTGGTAAATTTTATAATAGCTCTATTTAAATTTAATTAGCTATTGCTAATTAAATAGCTAATATAAATATTAATTAGCTAATTAGTATTGAATATGAATATCCTATATTTCTATATAATTAATATACGAAAATGAACCCTTCCTTGGTCTCATAAAATGTTCAGGTTTTTCAAATATTTATCTACCAGGCTCACAGAACGCAATGAAAGTATTTTGCTCCAATTTATATGTGCGTGCAGACATATTGTGCCAACATCTGACAAAGGGAACGGAAAAGGAATATGACGACGAGTAAGAAAACTCTAGAGTACAGTGTATTCTCTTATCTTACAAACATCGTTTTATACTTTAAATTTTAATAAAGACAGGGATATAATTGATAATAATTCAAAGTACCTAGCTGAATTACTACATAGATAAACAAACACTTATAACAAAACACAACCAAGACGCTTTGACTCATAAAATCATTTTGAAATATCACTTCACAGAATCCAAATAATTAATCAAAGTTTGTTTTTATTCAAGATTTCCCCCAAAACAGATAAAGGAGGAGGATTAAAGTTTGTTTATTTGAAGTTCTAGCTGTTTACGTCAACGTCACGTATTCTCGATAACTTTCTACCAGGCTCACATGAAGCTAAGAAAGTTAATGCCAACGTATTCATCACACGATTTAAACTACAAGTTTTCAATAAGTTCAATAAGAATTGCGGTATTCTTTTATATTATTAAAATACAAACAGAACTGTTTATAATTGATCCTAAATAATACGGACCAACACAATAATGTAACGATTCAACAGTCCTGAATTTAGTATTTAGGAGCGCACACACGTCACTGGTAAAAGCTACCACCTCTGTGTAATCTAATAAACTCGTCTTTGCGGAGCGTGGAATTTTGAATTATAATTATATATATATAATATATTAATATGAAGTCTCAAGAAAAATTTAATGAGTTTTTTTGTTGATTGTTTTTGTTCCGATTTTATCACTAAATTTATTAAAAAAATAATGATAATACGCCTACCCTACTAGTACTCATAGCTAATATACTGAATTGAAAATACCCATGAAATGTTTACGTATGTACTGGTAATCCAAATACCATTATTTCTATTTTCTTTTTTTCCATACTCCGAAAGTAGATGTTTCTGACAGTAGCCTTAATGATTAATATTTATATTTATTTGATTTGATATTTTCACAATAAAAATTCACAATTAAACATAGTTACATGACGTAAATTGTTAACTAAAAACTATGTGTAAATATTTTTCGAAGCCGTTGACCTGTTTACTTTACAAATCTAAGTTGTGAATTTTTTTTATTTTTTTTATTTATACGCATGTAATTAATGACAACGAACATCTATCGTACCTGAGTTAGACTTGGAACAAATTAGAAGTTCCTAGGATGTTATATTGGCTTCGTACAAAAACTCATAATCTCACCTACACTGAGTTCTCGTTGGCTTGCTGTGCTTAAAGGAAGCATATAAGTTTTACATTATCGTCCTTTAATATACTAGGACTTTTGACTTGAATGAAGTTAGCCTTTAGTATACAGAAAGTTTTCATATATTTTTTTGTTTTTTCTATCAATTAAAGCATTCATATTCATGATATCGATGCATCTCTGCCAGCGTAGTGATAATTGTTCAAAGACTTTGTTGAAGAAGTCATCAGAACAGCATCAAACCAACTATAGTGAGGGTTTAGTAATTAATAGCGGGAAGCTGAACTAAAATCCACGTCCCACCGGATATGGTAACCATGACAACGGGCTAGACTAGAATATTCCTGTACGCATACCAGGATCGTATAAGTCAAAAGAGCTTAAGGTGATAAGAGTTTCTCTTTTC